TTTTTCCTTTTTCTCCACCTTCTCCTCCGCCCTCTCCAGCAGCCGCCGCAGACAACCTCCGCCCTCCGTGTCCCCAAGATCCGCCGCCGCCACCACCGTCCCCACCGGCGCTCGTCCCTTCACCTGCCGTCGTCGCGCCGGGTGGCCGGGTGTACCCAGTTGTTATCGTGCAAGCCCACCCTGCAACCGGGCGCCTCTTTATCGGGTCTCCGGCAGCACATCCAGTAGGATCGGCCGTAAGGCAGGTCGTGGTGGTAGGGCTTGGGATGCCACCGGCACAGGGACACGTCCCCCTTCTCATAATGCTTCTTGCACTGCTTGCAGGGGTCGTCGCGGTAGAGGGGGTCGCGGTTCCAGCGGGAATCGGTGGCCTGCACCCCAAAGGTCTCGATGATGGACTTGAAGTAGTGGCAGGGGGACTTGAGGGCGGCCAGAGCTTGGGCGCTTGGGTGGGCAGGTAGCTGAAGATCTTCACCATGACGTGCTCCGGCAGCAGGAGCATGTACTGCCGGGGCTCCAGCAGCCGCTGGATCTTGAAGCGGATCTCCAAAAAGTCGTGGGAGACGTGACGGTACAGCCGGCAAAGCGAGGGGTCAGGGACAGCTGACGGCTCCTCGCTGGCCTCCGTGTCCTCCACCGCCGGCGTCTCCTCAGGGACGGGCAGGAGGAAGAGCTGCCCCGGCGGCGGGTCCTCCTGCGCCGCAGGCGGGCGGCGGACACTGCACCCTCCTCCTTCATCTTCTTGGCGCTGTCCTTGCCGAAGAAGACGCATTGGTCCACCACCCCCGTCACCACCACGTCCACGTGGAAGCCGGAGGCGCAATCCCGTGCCGACGCCGACGCCCCCTCGCCAGTTCCTTCGCCCATCTCCGGCTTGACGGCGGTCACCGACCCCTCGCCGCACCCCATGTCCATGTTGGGGCCGTCCCCGTCCCCCTTGGGACCGGCGGGGGGGGGGGGGGGGGCGGGGGGGCGCCCCCGGCAGCGGTGGGGGGCACAGGGGGGGCGGGGGCCCGGGCCGGGGTCGGGGCGCGCCCGGCGGCATCCCCGCCCCCCGCTCCTGTCCCGCAGCTCATAAAGACACAATTGGGACGCCCGACAGCACCCGGTTCAGCCGCAGCGGCTCCAGCGCGGGGCTCGCGGCCGCTGGAGATGCGGAAGGCGATGCGCACCTCGCCAGGACCCGGTGCCGAAGATGCCGCCGCCGCC